AGCATTTGTGGTTGATGAGTTATGGCCGTTCAAAGGTGACCAATCACACTTGCGTTTCTTTTGGTAGCCACTGTATATAAGAAGTGATTGATAATGATAAAATTAAACATTTACTGCTTTACGTTGAACTGATTCAAGCCTTTGAGTTTATTAATATTAGTAGTTTAACAACATATAAGCCAGAATTTCTAAGTGAAGAATTTGGAGACTTTATAGAATTGCTTACTAGATGGAACTTATCAGATACATGCAGTAGTGATATACTCAAATTTGCATGTAAGGTTTGCTGTGATTATATAATTTTACCTTTATCAGTAACACAAGGCTGTCAGTTATTAGATCAAATAAATATATTGCATATTTCCTTTAAGAAAGTTCCAATTATGATATACGATGAAGAAATATATTACCTTTATTATCATTAAATCTTCAATACAATAAAGGAATTATTGAGCAATCAAAATATATTTCAGCATTATATTTTGAATTTAAGGCATTATATCATAAAGGTCAAAAGATTTATTGTGAACAATATAATGGAAAATGGTAGGAGAAGGTACAAATTCGATTCCCAAAGGAGCTAATATTTTGTCAATTATCTTGTATTCTGATATGACAACATGTGATCAGTTGGGTAAAACTAGTGAACATTCCATCTACTTGACATTGGGAAATATTCTTAGTTGGATAAGGAATAAACCTGATATAAAAATTCTATTAGGATATCTTTCACAATTAAAGGCGAAAACCATTTTTCAAAAAAAATCTATACCCTTTATCAGTATGCTTTAGATATATTGATACAACTATTGCTAAATTATAACATCGAGGGGTTTGATCTTCAAATAGACAATGATAAATTATAGTGTTATCCATTCATTTCTGTGATATTAGAAGATCTTCTGGAAAATGCCGCAGTAACTTTAATATATAATTCTATTAATTGTAACTATCTATATCATCATTGTTTAGTAAAAGGTGAAAATTTGAATAATGTGAAGTTAACAGATGATCAAATTATTTTGAGAACACTGAAAATTATGAAAAGTTTTATTGAATAAAGTCTTGCACAACAGTATTTTTTGCATGATATGAAAAACATCTTTTGGAAATATTCATGAGTATTGCATGATTATTAAAGAAAGGCATATAATTGTAGCAATTTTCTAATAACATTTATTTATAATTATTTAAATATTTACTCGTCAATAATACCTGACCGAATGCATCACTTTGATTTAGGATTATTTAATTATCAAGTGACCTACATAAGGGAAATGTTAAAGGAATTGTGTGATCAAATAGTAGTTGATGAACTTGACAATCATCTGGCTAAAATTCCAAGATTTTCTGGTCTTAAATTATTTAAAAATGGATTGGAAAATATTAAGCAGTTTACTGCTGATGAATTTTGAAATATGATAAAGTATTTCTTTTTATCATTAAAGGCCTAATCATAAAATACCACAAAGAATCCATAAATGAAAATCAAGTCAAATGAGCTAATGAATCATTAGTTAATATATATTATTATTGGAATGAGATATATTTATACAGTCGATGAGAGTATTTTTTGGAATCAGAGCTGGAGACTTTCAAAGTATAATAATTACTAGTTTTTATATTTTCTGTATATTACATTTAGCAATTAATGTTTATTTTGTTTATAGAATTTAATAACAAATGGGTAACATGTTTTGTAAAGCTTTTTAAAATGTATTCACCATCAGGACTTTGACTGCTAAAACTTCATAATTAGTGTTATCATATCATCACAACTATTAAAGAGTATAGGGCAATTAATAGTTTTACAACTGATACATATGAATCATTACATAAGGATGCTGTTAAAAAACCTTATAGAGCTAGTAATAAGCATAATATGACAGATCAAATAATTAAAACGATTAGTGTTTATTTTACTCATTTTTAAAAGTTATGTATGTATAAACATTAAAATGCTATTATTGTTTTATAGGTTTATTATAATTCAACTATTAAATACTTATATAAGCATATAGCTATTAATTAATGTTAACAAAATCTTTAATGAATGGCTTGTTAGGTACTTTTTTTTTGAAAGACTTTAACACATTTTTTAATAATTATCAGTCCGTCAATATCTTGGCCAATGAAGCTTTAAAGGTTTTAGAACATCTTTTACCAGCATTAAACGAGTTTTTTGATTTATGTGAAGGTTTAACTGATGTAAAAAATACTATAATTAGATAGTATAATTATATTAATGTTACTTCTAGTGGAGATTATATTAGAGCGAAAAGCAAGTATTATAATAAACTGTCATTTAGTAATATATCAATCAATATAAGTAACAAAGAAATAGAAGACTATAATACTATTGAAGGTGCATGTTTTGGCAAGGTACAGTATTTTATTTAATAATACTAGTAATTTTATATTAGTTAATATCTGTTGATACCAATTAATAACAACATATTTTATGATAATTAGGTCCTTATGTTAATTAACATCAAAATTGAAGATTATTTGTCTTTTGACCTTAGCCTTATACAATGGTACAATTTTCATTACAAGAATGATTTAAGACGCTTATATAAATACAATTGCCTTTTATTGTAGATTACAAATATGTATAATGTTGTGCCTGCAGAATCATTCATAGAATTAGTGCAAATAATTCAATGTGCTGAACGGCCAAACGAATATTTTGTAAATATTTACATATTTTAATTTAATAATATTTTACAAAATAAAGTCACTTAATTATTACAATTTTACAATCTATGTTGTTGAAATATATGTTTGTATATAACATTACGCAATGATATACAATGTGTACAATAACTGTTGGTGATGAAAAATGCATATATTAATAGCATGTATTGTTAAATTCTTATTATACAGTATTGAATAATATCATGTAATACATTGATCTACAGATTGGTATTGATCAATATATATACTGATGTAAGTCAATGCCTTTAAAATTCCCTGATGTAGGTTATTTCAATAGTCAAAAGATAATTATAAAATCCTTTTTTAACCAGATTAATTATGGGTTTAATATCATTAGATGATAATAGTGTAAGTGAATCTTCAACATTATCAAAATCATTATCTCACAAATCTTCTTTATTTGAATCCTCTTATAATAATTAAATAAATTTGTAGAATTTAATGTTAAAATTTACCAAAAAATAATTAAAAACAATACAGAATTACAGATTGTATTTTATTATTATTTATTACCATTATTTTCATTATTATTATCATTAGTTTCATTATATAAATTTGGAGTATATTTATATTCAAGTATTTGAATTGTAAGAAAAATTAAAGAAAGCATGCTATATTTTTGACCTCCTAAAAATTCTATTGCACTTTCAATTAGAATTAAAATTTTAATTAATTCATCAAGTAATTTCCATTCATTATCATTAAGCATTAAATTTGTTAATCGTTGATAGTCTTTTTTAGCATCACAATTAGTTTCTAGAGCAAGTATTATATAAACACGTTTTATTGGCTCTTTTAGTTTTTTTAATCATTTCCAGGAAGCTAATTTTAATTTCTAATGTGTTGGTACTTCTGTAATTGTTCGAAGAATTTTAAAGGCTTATTTAAACTTTTTCTATTACTTTAATTATTATTTTTAATAGCAGATGTGGCATCATTAGTAACTTCTTGTTTTTCTTGTTGAATTATTATTTCTTTTTGAGCATCTTCCAATCTTTTCGTTTACTTAGATAATTCAAAAAATTGATTTAATTTAGCATATCTTCTAAGATATAGCTTAATTTTTTTAAGTCCTTTAAGTACACAGAGTTGAAGTATATAAGCTAAACATAGTATCCGTTTTATGCCATTCCATTTTTTAATTGCCTTTATCATATTACTTCCATTATCATTAATTGCTACTATTACTTTTTTTTCTAATCCCAATTTTTTTAATTTATCTTGAATTGTTTCACAAATGTGCTCTCTAATATGTGAATATAAGATTTGTTTTACACATAATAATATGTTATATAATTTCATATTTTGAGTTAACCAATGACATGTTATGCCAATATATCCATTTTTAGCTTTTGATATCCAAAGATCTGTTGTAATTGATGTATAATCACATGTCTTCTTAATATAAGTTTTTATTAATTCAATTGCTATTTTATATCCAAGTCCAATTTTTTGTTTTAAATTTACATAGTATAGTGGATTAAATGCGATATTGACTTTATTTATCATTCTTTTAAAACCTTCTTCATTTACTGTATTAAAAGGTAATTCATCTATTACAAGCTAATCTGCTACTGCTTTATGTAATTATTTTTGTTTTTCATTTTTATATAGTGTAACCTTTTTAAGTTGTTCATCAATTTTTAATTGCTAAAGTAAATTTAATATATTATGTATAATAATTAATAAAAAAATTATAAAATTTTTTTTTTGATATTTACTTCCGTTATTTTTTTATTTTTATATTCTTTATATATAGTATTAATATAATATAACATATTGTTAGTTTGGGTTTTATAAACACAACTGTATCCACATTCCTTATTATTATTACTACTTTTATCTACATATTTATAATAAGTACAACCATCAGTTTTAGCTTAAAAAAACTTCCAAACAAAACTTGTTTTCTGATATTAGAAATCTATTGTGATTCTTCTTCTAATATAATTATTATATTTGAGTTACCAGTAATGCATTGTCTTTTAGATAAATCTAAGGTTTCTTTTCCTTTAATACACTTATTTAAACCTGAAGTACTTGCCATTTTGAATAAGATTTTTTTAAACAAAGAAAAAATAAATTTAAAAAGAAAATTTTTTTGTGCTGATAATATCTATATGAAGATCTAGATAATTTAAAAAAATGAAGTTAATTGATCAAATTATTTATACTGTATTGATCAATTAATTTTAATTGATTAATTAATCGATTATGGTTGATTATATATTTTAATCAATCAAGTCTGATCAAATCATAAGTATTGTGATTGATTAATCAATTAAACTAATCAATCATCAATCAAGATTAGATTGATTAAATATACAAGTAGGGATCATATCAAACTATATGAAGACATAAAAAGGTAAAAAGATATAAGTTTTGAATAATTTCTTTATTAATATTAAAATTTAATTGTTTATTCATAAAAGAGTTAATTTACAACATAAGTAAAAAGTCTATCTATTTATACAAAATTTCTTTTATCACAGCTAACTAATTACTATGCTATAAATTAACTAATTTAGTAAAATAAAATATAAGTAAAAT